TTTCCTTTAAAGTTTGCTCTATTATACTCTACTACTTTGATAATTTTTTGTTGAGTATAATATAGCCTAATGAATGTATTAATGAATGATAGTTTGTTAGTTGGGTTTACTACTGCAGTGGTAACTAAATGCTGGTCTCTCAAATAAGTATTTTGATTACACGCTCCGTCAAACCCCAACAACACTCACTCATCCGAATGTACTGTATATCTCCCGGATCTGATCAACTGATGCAAGCCGTACAATAACATATCCCGGATCTGATCGGCTGATGATGCTACCCGCCAGCGCAAACAAGACAAATCGTCACATTAAATTAGCCACTACAGGAAAAGAAAAAAAAACAAATGCAATAAAGCTTGAGATCTTTATAAATATCTATACTTACCACTACTCGAGCACGCATAACTTCGCCTTTTTTAACATCATCAGCCTTAAAGGGTGATAAAACTAGAAAAATTAAGAAGCCAATACACGTAAGCATTTGCGTGGCACCCATGATTGTTTAGCCGGACAACACAGCTAGACTACTATTTCTTACTTCTTTTAAGTCAATAAAAAGAGAGCTGCAATAAAATAAATTACCATTGAGGCCAATAAAATAATGTCCATTTTATTAATGCATCTCTTGTAATTGTGCGCTATTAAATTATTTTTATTTAAATCTTGAAATATATTCTTAAATTAAAATTAAAATAATAGATTCTCAAATGACAAGTTAAAACAGTCATTTTGGCAATTCTTCCTCAAATTTAGTTCCCCATAAAGGAACACTGCAAATTTGTAAGCCCTATCCTCTGCCTCTCCCCACATCTAACTTCGGAAGCTTTGTGCTAATAAAACTATTTGTCAGATATCCCCTAGACATGTATAATCAATTAGATCTATATAAAGTTTTTAATAAAAATGATTAGTTCCTAACATACTTGAATTAAATATCAAAGAATGGTGTGAAGAACGCAGGGTCACAGTAAATGACACGTGAAAGGGTTGAACTCCAACCAATGGTCTGGACTACGCTATATGACTTAACTATGAATATTATCGAGAAATCAAACGTATATTCTCATGAGGCCAATGATTTTTCAAGAAATACAATACTTGATGTCAGATGACCTAGTTGTTGTTTTTTTTCCCAAGTTGATTCTCACAATGTGTATTTAAAGGGCATGCTTCATAATCATATATAACATTTTGGGGGAAAAAATATAATATTTAATAATAATACACTGTATATGGAAAGGGTGATGGAAACCGGGCAAGTGGTAAGATATTGAAACAAGGAAAACACAATACGTTTAAAACTGTTTAAAGACACCACAAAACAACGAAAATGTACGTGTAAACAGCAAATTAATAATACAAAATGATCTCATAAACAAGGCTGTTGTGTCCAGTCAGTGAAGTAACTGATAATCGATAGAAGCTAAACTATAAATTATAAATATTGTAACATGGAATAGATGAAAATAAGCTACAATCCAAAGAGATCTGGTGCAGAACAATAGAGAATAATCTATTCTGAGGTAAAATTTTATGGCCCCAAGGACAGTTCTCAAAGAAGCAAGCGATACAGAATACAGAACTTAGAAGTTCGCGTTCCTTTCATAGATATAAATATATGGGAGATAAGTAATATGGGAGTTATTACTTATGTAATATACCGAGTATTGGAACTTGGAGAAAATTGGCCAATCAGAAGAGAGAAGTAAGGGGAGAACCAATCGGGTTAGCACACTAGGAAGTGAGTAAAACAAAGTAAGGTTAAACCTGAAAAAAAAAGGAACACAACAAAACAATGAACGTGTCGGCAGAAAGCTCTAGTCAGCGAACAAACGTAAAAAACAGAATACAATAAAAAAGAATAATTAAAAAATAGCACTTAGCTGAGTAGTATCCGCGATGGAAGCAAATGAATAGTGCTTTTTCATTTAGACATATTATTATTATTATTTAGGCATATTTTTATAGCACTTACCTTACAGCTCTAAGCGCTTTAAAATAATTAAAAATATGTAAACTATTTAAACTGCTAAAGTCTATTTAAACTGCTAAAGTAAAATAAAAATGAAAAACCAGAGACACTAGAATAGTAACTACACTGTGAAAAATGACTATAAAAACAGTAACTAAATAAAAATGGCTATAAAAACAAGTACACTTGGCCCGTTTTGGCATATACTTAAATACAGGATCAACCTGAGACAGAAAATGAGGCAGGGCAAGGAGGGTGCATCACAGGTAATAGACGGACCTAAACAGATGGGTTTTAAGGGACTTTTTGAAAGTGGACGAGGTTTCACAATGACGGATGTTGAAGGGGAGCTGGTTCCAGAACGTGGGTGCATGGAAGTAGAAGGAGCGTTCACCGATGGTCTTAGTTTTGGTTTTTGGGATTGAGAGGATTCTATTGTCAGTTGAAGAGCGTAGTTGTCTTGTGGGGATGAAAGGAAGTAACAGTTCAGAGAGATAGTCGGGAAAGTGAGGGTCAGTGAAAGAATTGAAGCATAGCTTGGCCGACTTGTACTTGATGCGAGAGGATATTGGAAGCCAGTGGAGTTGCTGCATTTGTGGTTGAATGTGGTCGTGTTTCTTTGATTTAAAAATGAGTCTGCATGCTGAGTTCTGTGCCTTCTGAAGTTTGTCTATGTGGTGTTGAGGAATGCCTGCGAGAAGAGTGTTACAGTAGTCAAATTTTGAAAGAATGAGTGAAGAGACGAAAGTTTATGTGGCATCAAAGGAGAGGAGGTGTCTAATGGTGCTGATTTTTCTAATTTCATTTTATGCTGATCTGCAGATGTTCGTGACATACCACTTAGACACCAGAGTGAACAAGGAACCATGCCATTTAGACACCAGAGAGAACAAGGAATCATACCACTTAGACACCAGAGTGAAAACGGAATCATACCACTTAGACACCAGAGTGAACAAGACATCATACCACTTAGACACCAGAGTGAAAACGGAATCATACCACTTAGACACCAGAGTGAAAACGGAATCATACCACTTAGACACCAGAGTGAAAACGGAATCATACCACTTAGACACCAGAGTGAACAAGGAATCAAGTCAGCGTGAGAGTTGACTCGACGGGGTCAGGAAGCGACATGGAAATCATCAATTTGACACCCGAAGGATAAAACAATTTAACGAATTTCTTTCAAAAACCAGTTTAAACGCACTAAAAAGTATAAAATAATTTTCTTAAAATGACGATTGAGTACTTATAGTTATATAGCACTTGTGTCCATGCTATTTTAGCATGATCACAGCGTTCTGAATATTCTGATGTACTAAAATCTACAAGAAGAAAAATAAGTCTGTAAATTGTTCTTAAATGACTCTTTACTCTTTATCATGTTCAATGTCCCTCAAAGATTGAGGCAGACTGTTCTACAATCTAGGCGCAATAGCTTCAACAGAGCGCAACTCGTATGACGTCATTCTGTGTCCATCCACACTGGGAACTCTCAGTAAGTGTTGAAGAGCACAGGTTCTGTAAGGAAACATTTTTAGAAATCAGTTTTTGAAGATATACAGGTGCTTGAGCCTTCTTCACCTGGGACAGAATTTTGTAGTCAATGCAAAGAAATTCTGAGCAGAAAATGTGTTCAAATTAATAAAAATAATGACACATGTGAGATTTTTCTACATTTAATTCATATCCTTTCCTAGAGTGCCTTATGATCAGTTCACATTAACAAATTTTCGTCGAATTTCTTTTTGATCGTGTGAACCGAGCATTAATACCCTTCTGCCCAGACTTTCTTAGCGAAATGCATTTTAAGAAAATAATTATATAGTGTGCTCGAACTAGTTTTTGAAAGAAAGTGGTAGTTTTTTTTTAGATTTATATTTTGTATTCTTGGTATGTCTAATTGCTAATCGGCCCTATGTTTAGTCAATTAAATCATGTTTATAATTCAATTTTGATCAATGATCAGACGCTGCGTTTCAGTCTTGGAAGACACACCTCATTATTAGTATTATATAGCCCGCCCTAGCTCATGTCGGGTTTTCCTGTGGTGTCCTATTTCAAACACAAATTATACAGTATAAAATAGTAAATCTAGTAGAAACTATGCAGTTAGAACTAAATGAGCTCTTGGTCTGAATCATTGTTGCTTGGTGTCACGTGCACAATGAATTGAAGATGGCAATAAAAATATGAATTTTATTCAAATTCAACGTTTGACACAGCTCCTGTGAGGAGTCTGTGGCACCCAAGGGCGCACACTTTGGGAACCAGTGTATTTGGTGACAGCCATGATACGATTCAAAGGTTTAATCTGAGAGTGATCAAACCAGAGTTGCCAAGAAAGTTAGGTAAACACTTCCCTTTGTTAGATAAACACTTCCCTTTGTTAGGTAACACTTCCCTTTGTTAGGTACACACTTCCCTTTGTTAGATAAACACTTCCCTTTGTTAGGTAACACTGCCCTTTGTTAGGTAACACTTCCCTTTGTTAGGTAACACTTCCCTTTGTTAGGTACACACTTCCCTTTGTTAGGTAACACTTCCCTTTGTTAGGTAACACTTCCCTTTGTTAGGTCCCTTTGTTAGGTACACACTTCCCTTTGTTAGGTACACACTTCCCTTTGTTAGGTACACACTTCCCTTTGTTAGGTACACACTTTGTTAGGTACACACTTCCCTTTGTTATGTAAACACTGCCTTTTATTAAGTAAACTGGCTTATTGCAGTTTCCAGCTATCAAAGTTCAAACTGACTCATTCAAAACTGATGCAATAGGAAATGTGTTCCTAGAATCTCTGAATGGAAAGTTCATAACAAATATACTGTTGAAATATCAGGTGCACAATACAATTAATTACTACGAGGATGTCATATTTATAATGTTTTAATGATGTTTCTAAGCACAAATTTGATCATTCAGAATTGCTACAAAACAATAAGTCAGGTTAATGCAATGACATATCAACATCACTAATCATCAGATGGATTGATTCAGTATAAAAAAATATTTTTTACAGTCAATTCATTTATATAAACCTAAAATATAACACTGTTAATGTGCAATAAAAGGCACCCAACAGAAGCACTGCCTTGACAGACACTGTACAAACATAAGTATATTACAAGTAAGTTCATAACAATCAAATCAATCACTTCTCTATACACTAGCCATCCTCTTCAGTTGTCTACCTCATAACAATCACTTGTCTTTACATTAACCAACTTCTACATAACAGTTGATGGATCATTTAAAATATCTACACTTGACCCAGCTTTATTAACTGCAGGATGGCTCTTCTCTCACAAGTATTTAATCAGCTGCCATTGACACACTGTCTACATTCATACACTGGCAGGAACAGAGAGCTTTTGTACTGTGTACTATAGCTAGCTTTATGATCATTAAAACATAACATACTCAGTTACTTCAATGATCTTTCAACAATTGGACACAGATGACATTAGGCAAGTTCAATGACTGCAAATGGAGTTTTTTTATTCTAATTAATCCTATATTTAATCTATAGTAATAATGGCTGACATTACATTCTATCAACTAACCAACAGCCAAACTTAAAGTAATTCAATATTCATTTATTCTTCTGAACACTTGTGGCCCCTGTGATAAATTTCCTTTTAATACCACTTTCAAGCCCTGATATGAGAGAATACAAAAACTTTAAATATTGATTATAATGATTTTGAGTATTAGCTATTAGTTCATATGTAAGGTTCTCCTTTCCAGTCAGATCTTTCAAAAAATATTAATAATTTTGAAATTGTAGGCATTTATTTATAAATATATAAAAATAAAATGATAACATTCGTTCACAATTGGATTTTTTAAGTGTACTGACGACACACCATAATTTCTTGCATCCTCCACAAAATTGTTGTTTCATACTGATGGGAAGTGTTTGATACTGATGGGAAGTGCTTGTTACTGATAAGAAGTGTTTGGTACTGATGACAAGTATTGATACTGATAGGAAGTGATTGATACTGATGGGAAGTGCTTGGACCTAATGGGAATTGCCAAGAGCTGATGGGCTGTGCTTGGTGCTGATGGGCTGTGCTTGATATTGATGGGAAATGCTTGATACTGATTGTACTGATGGGAAGTTTTGGTACTGAAGGGAAGTGCTTGGACCTAATGGGAATTGCCAAGAGCTGATGGGCTGTGCTTGGTGCTGATGGGCTGTGCTTGATATTGATGGGAAATGCTTGGACTGATGGTGCTGATGGGAAGTGCTTGGAGCTGAAGAGATGTGCTTGGTGCTGATGGGAAGCGCTTGATACTGATGAGAAGTGCTTGGTACTGATAAGAAGTGTTTGGTACTGATGGGAGGTGCTTGATACTGATGGGGAATTTTTTTGTACTTATGGATGTATTTGGTACTGTTAAGAAAGTTAAAGCCTTGGTGCTGCCAGAGTTCAGATTTTTTTTTTTTAATCTATTTTTGCTGACTCTATTCAGTTTATTGAAGATACAACAACCTTCTACTTCTATGGATTATGCACATGAACAACATTTTAAAACATTATGATATCCCATAAACAAATTTCAACGCTCAAGAAAGATGGGATACCATCTATTTCATGGGTTTACAAGTCATGCCATGGTGTCGGCTCGCAGGCATCCAAGTGATTTGTTTAACAGCTTGTATTAAGAGACAGGTCTGGTTAAAGATGAATTGAAGTATGTTGTCACCTTCAGGCTTGCAATCCTTTTGAAAGTTTGAATGCCCTGATCTATTCGTTTAATGTTTTATTTTCAGGTCACATTTCTCTTTTGATTGTTGTCTACATCAACCCATGCTCACTGCTGGGTTATCGAGTTCAACAACTTGAGGTCCCCTTGAAACTGTGTCTTGCACCATTCTCCCATGCTCACTGCCAGGTGATCGTCAGAAACTTGAGGTCCCCAGTTTTCCAAAGGTTCATCAGTCTTAGCAAGACTTTGAAACTGTTTAAAAGACAGTAATCCACAGATACTTTCCTCCCATTCAGCAGCTCTGCAGACTTGTTGGAGCATCACATTGTTCTCATGCCAATACATTAAACTGATAAGGAAGTGTTTAAAAAGTCGTCAGATGCTACGTCGTCCGTTTCTTCATGACAAATTTACCCTTATGCAGCTGGGAAATGTAGATGCGCAGCTTGGAGTTATCACCACTTCGTTTGATCCAAATCTGGAGAGAAAGGAACAGTTTGGTTGAAATATAAAACTATATTTTGGCACGAGTCTTTTGTTGATGATTTAAAATAGGTTCATTACTTTCATGTAGTTAAACATCGATTTAATTCATAAAGTAATAACTTGAAACAAGCAAAACTTAATCAATGTATTCCGTATGGAAAACTTTCACCAAAATAATATGTACGATGTTTGGAGCATTGTTAAAGAATACCTAGAGATAAACAAAACAAAAATCTTATTGTTTTTTTTTTTAAAGTTAGTTATTATTTCTGAAACATTGTAAATACTTGCAGGTACAGTAAAATATACTAACCTCTTGATTTCCTATATTTGTGATGGTTCCATAAATTCTTGGCCCTCCTTCTTTGCTGTCTACTTGTACCATTGTGTTTCTCTGATACCTGATCAGGAATATTAAATATTGAACTGTTATCACATTATTATAAACCATCTATGAAGTAAATAAAGATGTGCATTTTATTATTTATTTTTAATTGATGTAATTTTGTTAACGATTGGTTTACAAGTATGCAATCTCTATTTTTAAAAATATACTTTTTAAGTGAAAACAACATCAGTTATATGTAAGTATAAGCAAAATAAGTATGAAATTGAAAGTGTAAAATTGTAGAATGTTTCTGTTGGCTATGACATTCCCCACTGCATTATATCATTCTGTTTAGTACTATGATAAATAAAATTTAGCTTACCATTTTTTATCATACCACAATCTTCCATCCTCTATCCTCACATCTGAGGAATTTTCTGGCACAGGACTGGGGCTGGCAATGATCTGTTTCTTTGCTACTGGTTTCCCACTGACTTTGAGTAGTAACCTGATGTCTGTTGAGATTTCATTATCATCCAACAGTAGACTAACCTGAGGTGACTTGAGTTAAGAGAAATAATTTTCTAGGCCCACTTGGTGTTTGTCTTTTTTTTCTTTTTTGTTTTTTTGAAACATTGTTAAAGCCTTGTATTTGTTTCATATATAATATATATTAACAGAATTGAACAATGAATTTACAGAATTTTATATTAGCCTGAAGCTTTCATCTCTGATTTGTCCCTTTAAAAAAAAAACAGTAATGGGTAAGAAATCTATACAAAGTTGATGTAAATTAAATGGTGGAAAAATAAAAATAACAGAACACTTGGAAGAAAAAAAAAATTTTGAGTATAAAACAGATCAAATATAAACAAATCCATCTTAATCTTGCATTTATAAATTTTAAACAGTAGTGGGTTTTCTTTTAAGGTAATGTTAACATTTTAAAAAGATAAATCATAAAAGGATATCAGGTGAGGGTTTTCTTCTTTTCTCTGGTATTGGGACTGGGTCATTTGGTCGCCTCCTCAATTTGCGAGTCATTGTAGGCTTTACTTCCATGAAATCAGCTGGAAACAAAATAACTTTTGGTTTATGTTAGTTAGGAAAGGTTATAAAATATTGATGAATTTTAATACTGTTTGAATAATCTTATCCACAGTGATGCACACAAGTGATTGTATGAAGTTTTCAATAGTAAAATCTTTTAAAACAATGAAATTGGTCAGTTTAATTAGAATTGCACATGGTTCTTTTAATAAATGTTACAAGTTTAAAATAATTTTTTTAAAGAAAAACTATTTAAGAAACATGTAAAAGATCTTACCACCATTTAAATCCATTGTTTGTCTTTCAAGCTCTATCATACCACGTTTTTCTTTTAAATCACTTATCAAACTTTCTTTCATATCAATTTTCTTTTCCTGTAAGTCAAAAGCATGTCTACTTTAAGAGGAAGGCAAACAAAAATCTAAGTATTGTTATGTTGCATTCTGCATATTTTATCCTATTTAACATAATTCTATTTGTGCCTTAGAAATTTTATTTTTTAAATTTTTAATCAGAGCATTGGAGCAGAAAATAGAGGTTGCTGTCTATTCATACTAAGAGTAGGGATAAAATGATAACTCTGATCACATTAGTCAAAAGACGAAGAAGAAAAAAATCTACTGCTGTGTGTGTTTGTGAGACAGAATATAAGCTTAAACCTGTAAAATCTTCTGGCTCTTTAAATCAATTTGGAGCACATTTGTATACATATAAAATTCTATTGATCAGTGGAGCCATGCAATCATATAATTCTGGAAATGGAAAGTTGGCTGATCCAGATTTGCTATAGAATGCAATTTTTAATTTTTCAATGAAAGCAGATTGCTTTAATTTTCTAAAAGAAATTGTTTGTTTTCAATCATCAAAAACAGCAATGCTGACACTTGGCTATGCCTGGCATTATCTACATTTATTTTGTAGAAATATAGAGGATTGGTAAGTCAAATAAAATCTTACTTCAACCTTTGAGCAAAGGGAGGTAAAGTAAAAAAAAATTAAGGGAGGGCATGGGACAAAATTAAAGGTAGGCATGGGGAGAGCTCAAGGTGGGTAAGGGCATATTAGGAGAAAGTATTTTGATGTTGTATAAGAGTATTTAAAAACCATTATTCTCCAATGCTCTGATTTAAATGAATTTCAGCTAAAGATTTCTTTTATTGATAAATTATTATTTGACTCATCATTTATGCATGGATAAGAATTTAAGTGGTATGATACAAAAATTATAATGTAATAGGCAATCTATTATATATTTAAAATAATTTTATTTTAATAATTTTTTTTTAAAATTAGAAACTTTTAAGACATATTCAATTAACTCCCCACCCTGGCACAATGCAATTACTTTTTAACACAAGCACACAAGTTAGCAGGTTGTAAAAATATAAATAAACCAAAAAAATAATAATGTCAAAAATACATTTCTTCATTCCATCTTTTTTCAAACATTTGTTTCTAAGTTGATACCATGCTGTCTTGATAAATAAGAATGCTGGGTATTTAAAGCAGTGCCAAATTATTATCTTTACGATTGCAATGCATTAAATTTACTTCTAGAAAAATGTTTAATGTAATGACAATTGATTATGTTTTACATACAGCATAGTACTATTCTATAAAACTAGTACTAACTTACACAATGAAGTGTGCCTTATTATTTCAACACCATTTTTTTTTTTCTCAAGAAATAATAGTTCTAATTGAATATTCACTACATATTATAACTAAAATTAAATATTTTGCAAAAATAAATATATAGATTATGTCAAGAATTTCTTGTAATATCTACAGCAATTGTCTCTACATAAAGTAAGTTTCTTTTAAGCAAGTCCAGTATGTTTTGGAGTAAATAAGGATAGAGTTTTGAAGATGGCAAGCCTATATTGTTATCTACAGAATAGGAAAGTTAAAATAATATAGGATAAAATGCACCCTGCAAATGTAGCAGTAACTTTTACTACACACTTTGTACTGAATCTATAATAACTCGAAGTTTCAAATGCTATACTAAATATTTATTTCTAGCTTCAAAGTTAACATTAACATTTCAGATCAAATGCTTCATTAAATATTTATTTCTAACTTCAAAGTTAATATTTTCATTTTAGAGCTTTAATCTGTTTTTTTAAAAACAAAAACATATTTTTTCATGTACAAAAAAAAAGTTAATAAGAAATCTTTAAATTATAGCAATTTGTAACTGTAATAATCTAATTTGAAAATTGTATGTGCTTGTTAAAATCAATCAATCAATTTATTTTTTATGAATAAGTTTTTTAAAAATCAAGTGAACATTCCTGAATACATTTTTAAGAAAGTTTAAATAATAATTTTTTTTTTTTTACATATTATCAGTTGTCTAAAATCTTTTTATTCGCTCATCTCATTAAGTTTTGTTGAGAATAAGACTCCGTCTTGATTAGATAAATTGTTTGAATTGCAAAATCAGCAATGAAAACTTCAAACTCTTAACTTAAGATTGGAATGAGGCATTCTTAACATGGTGATGAGGCTCAAATAAAGCAGTAAAGGTAATCAAATGTAGTAGAAATCATCGTCGGGAATACCTTATACTGCTCGAGTAATCTTTCCTTCAATGCCTCTCGTTCTTTCTGAAATAGGCCCAGGGACTCACAATAAATTTCACAAATTATAAACACAATAAAACATGGGATTTCTTTTTGTTAACAAAAATATAAATAAAAACAACAATAATAATTTGGAATAACAACTTATTCATACAAAATAAAACTATGAGGACAAAATGTTTTAAATAGTTGGAAGACTCTAATAGCAGAGAGTGTGCAACGGGGAGCTATGGAAGGAATAAAATTTGTTAAAGATCAATGGCTAAATCACAAAAATAGTTTGTTTAACAATTGTGTTCAATATAAATAAGATCCCTTTTAGTCATGATAGATATAAATAAGTCACTGCCCACCCAACAAAAATTTTTTTTTGTAGACACACCAGAGTTAAGCAATTTTTAAAAATTAGTTAATTAAATGTGTGTTAATGATAATAATGTCTATAAACTATTATTAAGTTACTAATGATTTTAAAAAATTCAGTTAAACATCAGTTAAGAATATACAAACCTGACAGGTACTTTCAGTACCAAAATATATATTTTAAAACTATTTAAGTTTGAGAAATCTGGTCCAAAGTTTCCATTCATTAATTTATCAAAATGGCTTTTTGCATATTATTTAAGAAAGAAGAAAATTGCTATGAAAGTTATTGCTGTTTTGTAAAAGTTTCATTGGAAGAAAAAAGCTAAAATTTATAGTCCAATTAATTAAATTTTAAAAATTATAAGCTTTTATTAGAAAAAAACAGCTTCTAAATGTTTTAAAGAAAATGTGTATTTATAAAACATTTAAAAGAGAGAGAACTTATAAAATATCTACAAGTAATGTCCAATTTACAAATCATAAATGGGACAAAACTTCAGTTGTTGCTATATGATTTTTACCATTATGCCTAAATAATGTTAAATTTTGAACATTTAAGTGATTAATGCATAGAGTACTGAATAGTGATGAAATTTAAGAAATCACAAAGTATCAAATGTGTTCATACAATTTTCAGTTCAAGTATTGGCACTAATTAACTTATGTGTGTGTTGACCCATTGGTTCTGATGGAACTTGTTTTTATAATGCATTAATATAATTTGACATTTGTAAACATATACAATTTTATTGATCATGTATTACTAATTACGCTTGTGTATTTCATAAAATAATTATATGATAAAAAAATCAATGTAGGTTATGGTTGTATAATCGCATATTTATTATTTTCAAAATAGATCTAATTTTACTCATTACATCGCATTGATTTACCCTTATATTTATTAAATATGAGCATTATCAACAAGGATATCGTGTTTTAATCCTAAGAGAACATGTTGTACAAAATATCTTTTTATTTATTTTTTTTTGGTAACCAAAGCTGAATTATGTATTTTAATTTCAATATTTATACAATATTTCTTTATCCTTTTGCATACTTAAAGTACTAAAAGTAGATTTCTGTAGAATTCTATTTCCACTCCATTTTAAGCCCTCTCTAAAAGAGAAAGCAGAATTAAATTCTGGAGTATCCATGTTTTATAGACATTTAAGAATGGGATAATGAAATGGTTTAAAATGGCTAATGTTTGTTCAAAAGCCTACAATTAATTATTTTTCATTACTGGTACTAAAACAAATAATTTTATTTTTTGATGCTGAGAAGTAAGTTTATCTTCTGGTTGGTGGCTACACTATAAATTAATTTTAATGAAATACCCATTAACAAAGAAAAAAAGTAGCAAATACAAGATTATATGTCCAATACTGCAAGTCAAAAATACAAACTAAAATTGCACCTATCACCAGCAGCCAGTGGTTTATATCAAGGGCCCATGCAGCACTACTAAATATGAAGAGGGGAAAGAGAGTAGGGTCCAACTTACTGAAGATATTTAAAAGACACTTCAGTGAAAATTATTAGATGGGATTTTTAGAGTTGAATATAATACTACTGTTGAACTATTCAAATCAATGAACTAAATATATGTCAATGAACTGATTACATTCATGTGTCCATGCACAATATTCACCACATGCAAAATATGTCCTGAGAACTCTCTCTTTTAACACTTTGAAGCATGGTAAATATCTTCAGCAAGATGAACACCAAAGAGCTAGATACTGATACATTTGAAAAAAATTGTTTTAAAATGATACTTAAATAGAATAAAATGCAGCAAGCTGTAATCTCTAACTATTGAACACACTTACCTCAAATTCTTTTTGAGCGTTGTTGCAATCTGTTTGGTAATTTTTATCAACTCTTTCAATCTGCAGATAATTTCCACACAATAATTTGTTCTTATTTATGTTTAAACATGGAGGCAAAACATAAGGAAGCAATGACAGAAAGGAAAAAAAAAATCTTAATAAACCAATGTTTCGATACTTATGACATGCACCATATGGCACTATTCCTAACGCATAGCCAGACATATAATGACCAAAGTAGTATTTTGTTATTCCTACAATGTCATACAAAACCCATTTCATATAGAAGTCTTCATATCTCTTCTCTTCACAATGGTACTAAATTTTATTTAACATTTAAATGTGCTTCTCAAATGAATTGCTTGGTGATGAATTTGACACTAATTCAGTACACGAAAACATGCAGGCACTGGCATTGAACTAAAAAAAGAACAACGGATTGAGGGCAAAGAATATGTGAAGAATCTATCTAGATTGAGAGTCAAGGAGATAGGAATGGCATCGAGGGACATTGAGAGTGTTGCAACATACAGAGCCCAATGGAGAAAGATATTTGATGTCTCATGCCCCACTGGTTTAAAATAACAGACACCAATGATTGTTTAATCAAACTAAGCAACTCACCTCTACAGTTTTACTAATTTCATTCTGTCTCAATCTTTCTCTATAATGTAGTTCTATTTTCTTGGTGCGCTTCAAAAACTCTGGCAGAGAACCCTCTTGCAGCATGCCAATATGCTTTTTTATTTGAGCAAGTTTATCTTGATACATTCTAAGGAAATTTTTAATCACATTCCATTTAGTTAATTAATTATTTTTAAAATTTTAATGTAAAATTTATTTATAAAATTACCATAGCATTTTAGTTTAGATTTTTAAATGAACTGCAAAAGATAAATGGGCAAAATATTATAAAATTTATTTAAAATTTTTAAAACTTACTGTTCCTTGATTTCTGTTCTTTGGACTGTGTTTGAAGATGTATTTGTGTTATTTTTTGGTTTATCTTCCGTCTCACTAGCATCTGCAGTATCTGAAATTGAAAGCCAAAGACTCAACAACAGCATTAACTTTGTCATATGACAGAAAATCCCAATCTATCTAGACTTCTGTCATATAACAAAATATGTATGCTTAATCTTCATTTACGGTGAACATCTTAAATATCAATAGTTAAAAGCCTGCTAATATCTGAGTGGAGCAGGATGATATTAAAAATGTTCACACTCATTTTATGGATAGTCTATCATTTGTTAAAGATGCAAGCAAAAAAAAGCATCAAATAACACACAGACCGCCATGACAACCTTAATTGACATCACACAAAGCAGTCATCTCTACTAATTAATTATTGTATATGATGGCTTTATTATTTGCGTACTTGCTACAAAAATTAGCCCCAAAATGTGGAGAAAAAAACAAGACATGATTTTTTGCACAATACACAAAGCTAAAAGTGATACCAGTAAATAACCTAACATAAAATCCTATAAATTCACAGATTGCCATATTATATCTGTAAAGTGGATTGGGTGTCACTTATAGCAATATAAAATAGATTAAAAAAACAAAACTGAGGTTTTTCCCACTTTTTGAAGATAAGATTTGGTAAGTTTCTGATAGCAAAATACTTTTTAAGTTTATTCCATATGACAAGAAACGCAAATTTTATTTATCCTTAAAATATATCTCCAGAAAATAAATAAATTGGACAATTTTTAATAGCAACTTAACCACACAAAAAAAGCACATAAATCAGAAATGTTGCAAAAGATTGTAATTTTTTTTTTTAAATAATAATTTAAGACAAGCTGCTCAAATATGTATATACCACAGCTGTCTACTTTTAGTTTACTAATTTGGCCTGTGTGGGGTAGTGCATGAAGCGCATTAAGTGCAATTCGTCCTTCCTCACAAGGGAATCAACTTAATTTGGGATTTTTTACAGTTTAAAAAATTTATTTATTTTAAAAAATGATCAAAATAAAACATTTTTTGAGAGAAAAGTTTAAATAAAAAAATGAAACAGATGTTAACTTTCCAGCTTTAGTAGCTTTTGAGCGATGAATATTTTTAATGCAAGTTCCTTTGTCCTTTTTTTTTTTACAAGGACTGCATTTCCACAGTTTCCACCCTTTTTTCTTTGTTTTCATTTTGCGATGTTATTTTATTACATAATAACTTTAAAATGTTAAATTACTCGTTAAGTGATGCTTTTGTTTTAAAATATATAAAATGTGTATTTAATTCTGCAAAATAATGAGATCTTTTATAAATTCTAATCTGAAAGGTTTCTAAGGCCGAATGAATAATCCTAATTTGATTATAGTTTTAGTATAGTTGTTAAAAACATTACCCAAAAATGTTAAATAAATTTCTTTAACACATACATTTTACCTTGTTTTACATACTTTCAAATACAACCTTATTTAACAGTAGTGACAATAAACAAAAAGTAGGGTGGGGCAAAGTGTAAATTGAGTACTGCATAGCAACTTATTTGTCTCCTTCAGATATACGGCAATGCACATAAATGACCTACATACTGTACATCCCGAATATAACAATTATTGGGTATTTTTATCCTTTTTCAAGTTGTATTCTTATGGCAAGGGTGTGTTGTCAGCAAAAGGGAATAAATGTGAATATTCTACATTAATGCACATCCCCGTTACTTTACGACTTAAGCCATTAGTCATTAGTAATGCAACTAATAAATGAGGGATTTCCCGAACTCTTTGGCTTTGGATTATAGCAAACGGCAAGGCATGAAGAACTTGTGTTTGAGAAAACAGAAACACACTCTGCCCAAATGTGATCAATGGCAAGACAAAGTTTAAACCCTTCAGAGTGTACAGTTCACAGTATAATTATCCAAATTTTACCCCCAGCCTGCCCCATCAGACCAATTTAATTTTTCTTAAGGCTCACTCGCCCCAAAAAGTTAATGCATACTAATTAACCTAAGTCTAAATATTCAGATTGGATCCCAAAGCCAATTGGGTAAAAAAAAAAATTACTTTTATTGATTAAATACTGTTTAGACTTAGTGACCAGTTTTAAAGTTAGGACTCATCAAAATTAAATTAAATAACCTTCATCTGAAACGTTTTCCTCTGCTTCTTTTTCATCATCCATATCTGAACTTTCTGCGAGAAGACCGTCATTTCCCGGTCGAGGTGAGCTCACTATTGCAGCCATGATAAGAACCTCCCTCTTTTTTTAAATTTCTATATGACTACCGATGTCCTATAAATTGTATTATTAAAATTTCTCTTCGACTTGTCTTCCAGTTATAATTTCTAGCTAGTAGCTTCCCCTAAAGCGGAAGTTCATTTTTTGGTTAACCAACATTTGTATTTTTCTCACAGTCACAGCCTACAATTTCTTAAAAATTTCTTTTAAAAATCAATTTTGGCAAAAAATTATGTTTAGCAATTATTTTAAGTTATATATTATTAAATTAATAGTAAATTAATAAATTTCGATTCATTTTCGTCAACTTTCAAACGATACACAAAGTTGTACATTATTTTAAAACTCTAATATATTGTTTTGATCCTCTAAGACAATAGTCATTATATAGTTTTTTAAGTGCTCTAAACCAGCAGACGAAAACTCAAAAAACTTCAGTAAACTTCCGTTACAAAAATGGCAGCCTCCGACGAAGAGGCAAAAACTTATATTACTTTAAAACGAAAACTTTCACCACAAAAACCATCTTTTACAACAAATCCATATCCCGTTGATGTTAACGAAGCACATAAACAAAGTGCGATTGCAAGATCTTCTGCTGAATTTGATTCAAACGGATTAGGTAGTCCACCGAAAAAACGCTTGTTTGTAACAGTTGATGCAGATGGTAACCAAGTGCAAGTAGAAGTCCCCCACAATGCTTTGCCTGAGGGTGTAAATCCAGATGACACTAATTCTTATATAGTAAATGCTGAAGATATAAATCTTGATTTGTCTTCATATTCATACTCTGTTGTAGTGGATGGTATTGTTGAGGATGTTGATTTGAATGATTGCCAATATTCTGATGAACCAGTGAAAGGAAGTCTGAAACCTGATGAGTTAGATGAAGGTGAAAGTGAAAGCGGAGATGAGCATGATGACGTTGAAGATAAATGCCAAGGATACATGATTTCTGAACCTGATGATGCAGATCCTATGTTCAAGTCACACTATAGGATGAGTCGTATTGTTGCATCTGTGAGTTCTCACAATCACAATAAGAAATAAACATTATTTTAAAATTGGTAAAATCAAGAACATAATTATGATTCTCTTTAATAAGTGTTGTTTGCCATATCACCTTTAGTGATTTGGGAAATAAAATCTTTATTTGTTTGTTGTTTTTTTCAAGACTTAAGAGTTTGCTGTAGCAGCCAGATGATGATAAGATGACCAATAGTTATTGTTTTAAAATTTTCTCAATTCTTTCATGATTATTTATAAATCTATTAAATTTTTCAGGAATTGATGGATAAAATTGGCGCTCATCCTAAAATGAATGGAAGAGTGCAAACTCTGGAACAAAAAGTTCTAGCTTCTCTGTTTCTCCTTGGCAATAAGACCAGCTACATCGTTGCCTCGGACAAATTTCATATGTCCAAGGGATCGCTGTATTTGACTCTTAAAAATTTTTGTCAGGTAGGTTTTTTTACATTTTATTTTAGAAGTCATAAGGATTTTTTAAAAAAATTAAATAACATAATTTTTTAGACTGTGTTGATTAGAGTCTTTTTGCTGTATATTTGAATTAAAAATATTAAAAAATTGATATACACATATATTAATGGGAAACTAATTTTTTTGTAGGTTCTTACAGAGATGCGAAGTGATTACATCAAATGGCCCATAGACCAAATAGGGCTTAGGAAAATCGCTCAAGAGTTTGAACAAGAGACAGGGATGCCTGGAGTAGTTGGAGCTATTGATGGAATACACTTTCCCATCAAACAAAAGTCACGATTGGCTCATGCTTATCGCAATAATCAGAATTATCTTAGTATTCATATGCAAGCAGTCTGTGATGCAAATCTTATGTTTCTAGATGTCCATTGTGGCAACCCGGGTTCAGTTGATGATGAAACTGTTTACAGATCATGTGACCTTAGAGATAAACTTCTGCATGACCCTTTACCCGCTGACCTGCACCTTGTGGGAGATTCAGGCTATCCACTGGAACCTTTTATGTTAACCCCATATCCTGGTGATATCCGACGGCTTACTCCATCTCAGAGAGAGTTTAATGAGCGACATAATAATGCCTTGCTTGCTGTGAAACTCTCACTGCAACTACTTCAGGGTAGATTTCAACGCCTTAAATTCTTAGACATGGAAAGAGAGTCTGATATCCCAGTCACCATTGTGGCCTGCTGTGTTCTCCATTGCTTCCTTCTCCAAGAGGAATGTGAGGATGATGATGAATTTTTGGATTTTACAGACATTGATCCTAATCCAGATATAAATAAATCAGAGAAAGAGCTCAGGGCACTTTGTAACCACTATCAGCCAGAGGCAGCCAGTAAAAGAGATGTTTTGGCCAACTTGATAACACCTGTGTAATTTTAGACACAATCTATTTATACTTAAAACATTTTCCACCACAAAAAATGTATTCAAATATTAGAAAGTTATGTACATAGATACTGCAAAAATTAAATAACACTAACAGTTGAATGTAACTGAAATTCAGTTGCCTGCAATTATTTATTCCCTTAAATTATTAAAAAGCTTCCTGTGATATTCAATCATAATTATATAAATCACCTACCAGTACCTGATAAAATAAAGCTAGATCTCTGCAAAATGTAGCTAACATGGATGAACTACCTATAGATAAAGGTTAAAAGTAACAACTTATGATATACTATTTATGCGTGCCTGTTATTGCTAGATGTGTTTACTCCTAGTTATGATTTTTTTTTTTTTTTTTTAATTGAACATTTAAAAAGAAACATTTTAAATTATTTTCTATTCAATTTTTTTTATTTTTAATGAACTACCTATAGATAAAGGTTAAAAGTAACAACTTATGATATACTATTTATGCGTGCCTGTTATTGCTAGATGTGTTTACTCCTAGTTATGATTTTTTTTTTTTTTTTATAATTGGACATTTAAAAAGAAACATTTTAAAATATTTTCTAGTCAATTTTTTTTATTCTTAGTCTCCAGTCTTATATATACCATTTCTAAAACTGAAAGCATTATCTCAATTCCAGAAATTGCTACCCATTATTTTCCTACAGATGAGTTCCTCAAGCTTAAGTCAGTTTGACAAAATTCAAGGATAATTTTATTTTGTGCTTTACCATAGCCGATCATGTTTATTATTACAAAAACAAATTTTTTCTTTAATCCTAAAATGTTAACAACATTCTCACTATCAGTACCTAGGTGAGGATTTTTTTCTTTGGTGGTTTTATTTTTACAAGAAATAAGTTCAAGTTAAATTTAAACTAATCTTTAGCTCCATTAACAAGTTAGATTTTAAAATAATTTTAAAAATCTATTTTGTATTTTATTTTAACAAAGTTTTAGAGAGATCCATGAACCATTTATATTTACAGCTGCTTCTTTGTATACAAAACTTATCAAATGATAAATATCTAAACTATTAAATTAGATCAATATATATATATATATATTTATATAGAAAATGTTATTTAATATATTAAGAAAACTAAGTTCTTTGTATTTTTATGAATCAACAGTCAACTTTAAACTCTGATAATTGACTTTAAGAAGTCTGATTAACGGTATACAATTGAACCAATTACTAATGTTATTTATTTAAAAGTTTTCTCAATGTAATTTAACCAAATTACTAATGAGTTTGATAAATATTTTTAATGTTACTAATTGCTATTAAGTTGTTGAAGTTATAGTTTATAGTTGGCATTTGATGATATTAATTTTTTTTATCAAGCCTGTTTACATTTTAATATTGTTCTTATTTTAATGCTCATCTTGGTGCTAAACTAAACTTTTTTTTTAAACAATGTTTTTTGAAAATACAATTTTGTTTGTTGTATTTTTAAAGTTCAAATGTTCATTCTTTGCATTTTCAAGGACACAATCTAAAGTTTTTCAATTGAAAAAATAATAAATGTTGATAATCCTTTTATGAATTAATGTTTTGTTGTGTTTTTTTTGGGGGGAAAGCATTGTTTTAGGCACTGAAATAGGGATACTCTTAAAAACATAAAACTAATACCAGGCAATGTACAAAATTTATCTTTTTGAGAGTTGTGTCATTAACAAATCTCTGTGACTTTCAAATTGATTTCTGTTTAGGTATAAGAAGGGCATATTTGCAATTGTTTCAGAGTTTTCATTGATGCCAGCTGTTGTTGAATAAAGCAAAGTTGTTATAATCTGTTGATAATTGATTTTGTAACTTCTTTCAAATTCATCTCATATTGTTATAATTTATCATACTGGGGAGAACGTGCAGGTTGTGTGAATTGAAATATTTAGAACATGATATGGGAACCCTGACTTTTACAGTAGCCATATGATAATCTAAAAATAATAATAATTATTGTTGGTTCAAACTGTCAGAATGAGATATAAGATTTTAAGTGCACTTGAAATACTAGAATGAAGTAATTGGTGATGTAAATGAATTTAAGAATATATTTAGAAAAAGGAATTAGTCAAATCCATGTTTAATATATATAATATAAACTGCATACTTATTTATAATTCCACATTAAATGGTTAGCTACATACTTAATTGATCCTATACATGCATTAAAGAAAACCCTTGCCACAAGTTGATTTACATTTACACATTGATATGTTTATTGCATAAATCTGGATCATAGGAGCGTCCCTCTATCAACTCACACAGCAAATCAGTTCTGCACTGGCCAACACATGGAGGCAATGGATACAGGTTATTTTTGTACCTGAAAACAATAGGTTTAGAATATTGGGATTTAGTGGGCATTATTTGAAAGAAAAAATAAATCATTAAAATTATGAAAACTGTTTTATTTTAAATTCAAAATGCCTTGGCTCATTTATTTTTTTATTCAATGCTAAAAGAAAAAAAAACTCAGAAATCTATGTCAAGGCATTTCTTCTGTATGTCTTTGAAACTTGGAGAATAACAAAAACAAATAATTTAAAAACTGTAGGATTTTATAAACAGATGCTTGCGAAGAATCCTCCAGATGGTTTTCAAAATTTGTAACACTGTCAATTGGAAGAGAACCTCAAGTGTTCCAGTTGAAATAGAGATATAAAGAGAAAATGGACAGGCCACTCATTAAGGAAACCAAATACTAACATCACAAGACAGAATTGGAGTCCTTGAGGTACCAGGAAAAGAGGAAGACCAAGAGCCACAGGGAAGAGGGAATTAGAGGCAGAGGTGAAACGAATGAAGAAAAGTTGGGCTGAACCAGCAAAGATAGCCCAGTACAGGGGCTGATAAAAAATTATTGTGGATCGCCATATTCTCCATTGGGAGTGAGGAGGATTAAGAAGACGAAGAATATACTTACAGATTAAATAGCTGCAACAGATTATCATTCGCTTCCATTCTTTGAATCAGGTTGTCCCAGTCTACTGCATACAAACCAGTCATATTGTAGAGTTTCTGTAACAATATAAATTTGATCAAATATGAAATGATCCATCACCATAAAATTATCATATAGAAAAGCTATTAATAACCAAAAAAATAGTCATTGTCAATAAAAAAAGTAGTGCTCGTACATGATATTTTATCACCTCATTGATGATTCGTGGAAATTGTCTATATTGAATATCCATAAATGAATTTCAAAGAATGTCTTGAAAAATGATTTAACTACCGTGCTTATAATCTAACAAATGGTTCCAATGGGCTTCTTAAGGGAAGTGGTGGAGATATTTCTAAAAAAATAAAAGTTCATGTGCAAAATCTGTAAATACCTTTGGTGAGTATTCAAATTGCCATACTGGGTTTCCAGACAAGTTGGCCTCGGTCAAATTGAGATAGAAATTATTGAAGTCCAAAACAGCCTAGGCAAATATAATAGCAATGAAAGTACGTAAAGTCTACTTCTCACAATATCATATCTTTCAAGTGAGCCGATTTAATATAAGTGTTATTACTAACGAAACTCAATAAAAATTCTGGATCAAGAAACATTAATTATATTTTGCCATTTAATCACGACAATGACAAGTCTTTAGAAAATTTTAATGATGATAAATAAAATATGGGGTAATTTTTTTTATCATTTGTTCTTCAAAATATAAAAACATGCATGTGTCATATTATGACTGAGTTAATTAAAGTATACCCAGAACAAGTATAGTTAAAAAGAAGAATATTTAATTTCCAGCCCTGATGAACACGTATATTATGCTTACGTATGAACTTCCAGTGTAGTTCCCATCCATAGTGTAGATCCTGTAGATTGGGTTGATATCTGACCCAGGTGTTATACTTGGAGCAATAAAGCCAAACCCAACTGGACGCTTGAAGTTGACATTGTCATAGAACATCTCAAACCAGTCTTTGTGACTGTGACCGTAAAACTGGTTCACAATGGTGTTCTCATACCTGGAAACATGATGGTGACATTGTTATCTTTTGGGGTTTAGATAAATTTAAATATTATGACAGAGCAAGATGATCCATAAAAAATACTTTAAATCCTACAAAATATAATACCAAAACTTTTATTTATTTTTTGTTTGCCCAATAGTTAGTTTTTCACACCTTCCCCCATCATTCTAAATAAAACAAAATTGTATTATATAGTTATTGTTTCCAGCTATTTCATCAGGAGAGATAAATTATTTGTAGTTTTCAATGAGTTATCTTTACAAAAGTTAAACTGTTCAAGCGATTAAGTGTGCATCAAAAATAGCCATGGCATTGATTTTTAATCACAAACAAAAGGAAGTAAATACATGTCTAAAATTATATTTCAAACAATTTCCCTCTTTAATACTTAGAGATGGAACTTGATTTATGGATTGTATTTGTCTCAATAGATTGAATGTACCTGTTGACAATATTGTAGTAGTTGTAACTCCATGCCTTCAAACAAGTACCCTCACCTGGTGGTATATGTAGCAGCATGTGAACCTGGGAAAGGTAAACTATTTTAATGAGGCAGAAAACATTTTCGTTTAGAAACTAATAGACAAAATAATCACTGTCATTGCTTATTTTTATTTTTTACAATTGATTTTCATCCTTTCCCTTAGGGGTCGTTTGTAAATTACGTCACACAAAAAATTACCTTTTTAGACCCCCCTGCCCTCTGTTACTAAGTGTCACAAATTCTTTACCCCCCCCCACCCCCCACCCAGTGTCACATCACACATAAAAAAATTATCAAAATATACGTAAAATTCATAAATAAACTAAGATTTAATTTTATTCTTTAACATTTTCCCATAATGGATTAAGATGTAGTATTATTAGAAAACTGTAACGCGAAAAAACGAAGTCATCCACAAGCCGAATCTAAAATGGCCACAACAGTTCTGGCGCCATTTTTTGATATGCACAAAAGGTGTGAGCGACTGAGTTTCATAGTACCTATAATACTTGAGGGAATTTTGACCTCAAGTTAATGTTTTTAAAATTAATTAAATAAAGGTTTCTCAAAATTAGAAAGTTTTAGATTGAAAAAATA